AAAGGGAAAAAGAGTGAACATTTCAGCTTCCTGAAAACAGCTGCCTTGAACCCGGCCACAGGCCTCCCTGACGAGGAGGCAGAGGCCCCTTTGCATGACTGCGAGGAGACACTGACTACCCTCACTTCCCTTTGCGAGTACCTTGTGGACCAGCCCCTGCAGAATCCGCATGAGACCCTCTACATGATTGGGAACAGCTTCGTAGAGGAAGGTACCCGGTATGCGGGGATGGCAGTAGTGACATGAGGAGGAGCCAGGGAAGATCTACAATCTGCCAGGATTAGAAAGAAGCCCTGGTAAGGGCCCCAGCACTCATCCTGCCAGACCTACCCAGGGACTGCAAGGATATATCTCCTCACACTGCCCTTACAGAAGGACACAGGAGCCACCTTAAAGAGGACTCCTGACCTCAGGAGGAAAGGAGATTAAAAATGCTCCTGAGATACTCAACCTCCTGGCAGCCATATAGGGGCCAAGGAAGTGGCTAAAAGACCAGTAGGGCCCCTAGAAGTTCTCATAGCCCTGCCAGCACGAAGGCTCCCAGAGAAGCCTACTCATCTGCCGGAGGAGAAGAGGCTAGCTGAGAAATAAAGGGCCCGGGAAGAGAGGCTGGATGGCTAATTCTGCCAGACGGGAGGCCTATAGTGCCAGAAGCCCTGGGGCGGACCATCGCTTCCCAGACCCACCAGAGTACCCACCTGGGGGGAATGAAACTATCAGAACTACTGGGAAGAAAATTTTACATCCCAGGGCTCCAGAAAATATCCCAAGTCTTGGATAGAAGGTGCCAAGTGTGTGCCCAGGTAAATCAAGGGCCCCCTGTTGTGGCCACACTGGGGCAGTGATTGCGAGGTCAGAACCCCGGAGAACATTAGGAAGTGGACTTCACCGAGATACCAGGAGGACAAGGAGGGCATAAATACTTACTAGTTTTCATTGATACCTTCTCTGGCTGGCCTGAGGCACACCCAACCAAGGCAGAGACAGCACAGGTTGTAGTTAGGAAACTCCTCACTGAAATTGTCCCCCGGTTTGGCCTACCACTATATATGGGGTCCGACGATGGCCCGGCGTTTATTGCCAAATTTACACAATCCATAGTTAAGGCCCTAAGTGTTACTTGGAAATTGCATTATGTTTACAGACCACAGAGTTCTAGACAGGTAGAGAGGATAAATTGGAACTTAAAGGAAAAATTAACTAAGTTAAAATTAGAGACTGGCGAAAACTGGGTAAGTCTCCTTCCTTTTGCTCTCCTCAGAGCTAGGTGCATCCCATATGTTTGGCAGGCTGCCACCTTTCCTTCCCCACCTAAGGGAGGAAGATCTTGCCTGGCTGTCTACCCGAAATTTGCTTAAGTCCTTACAGGCTTTGCAGAGCAGCGCCACGTCGGCACAATGGGTGGTGAGAGAGCCGTATGGGAGGAGGACGTACTCAGGTCCAGTCCAACACAGCCTGCCTTCTCTCCAGCTGGTCTCGCTTGCGTGAAGTGCCACGACCCTAGCAGCCTGGAACCTAGATGGGATGGACCCTAACAGGTGGTGCTGAGCACTCCAACCACCATCAAAGTCACAGGAAAGAGACACTGGATATTGTAACTCTGTCCTCCTCATGCCTCTCACCTAGTGGACTGACCAATGGGAAGGAGAAAGACGTGGGGCTAAGACTCTTATGTCAGCAGCCGAGACTCTGGCCAATTATTCACCATCCAATGCCGGACTCTTCCTCGGCGGCTCAACCCCTACATTGTCAAAAGCCTCCTCAATTTCATATCGTAGAGGTGGGCACTGAATCAAAGATTTGATTCGGGCATAAGACCAGTAGGGAATGTGCTAGGGTGAGGGACTGAGGGAAGGAAGGGTACAGAATGTGCTGGGGGGAGGGACGGAGGGATGGAAA